TCTTGTGATACCCTCTCATCAGCTGACTCACGTCCGCATTGGTCTTCACTGGCTTTTGAAGGAAGGCCGCCACATTCTCCGGCCTTGACACATCCACTCCCATATGGTTGCATAGCGTAGTGGTGGCGGTTTGGTCCTCCAGAATAATAGGAACCATCCGAGCCGGCTGCCCCTGTCCCTGGGGTCTCCGCTTCCTGCGGTGTGGAAAGCTGCGACAAAGCTGGCGTCGGTGGGCCTCGTTTCCCACGCGCTTGACGCTCGAAAAACATCCGTTGCGTAACCTGCGACGACGCTGCCTCCACCTGCTGCTGGTACTGCTGCATCTGACTTGACTGCTCCCCAGCCATGGATGAAACTACTTGCCAAAGTAGCGGTGTGGTCCTAAGGACTGACCGCTGCCGCAAAAACTAACTGTGCGTGCACCGTGCACCTGGCAAACCAAGACGCCTAACGGAACCCCTTAGAAACCTTAAAGAAACCTTTAAAAGAACCCCTGATGCAACCCTCAAAAGAACCCCTTAACACGACCCTTCAAGGAAGCCCACAAAGAAACCACCAAAGAAATTCGTAAAGGAAACCCTCAAAGAAAGCACCAAAGAAATCCGTAAAGGAACCCGAAACCGTAAACCCTAAACCCTAAACCCTAAACCCTCAAGGGAACTCTTGACCCGGTAGCCTTGCCTCATTGAAAATCGCTTCAGCCCAGCCATCCGCCACAGCCGTGAGAGTGACTCGGCCCTGGAAGCTAAACACGGTTTAGGGGTTAGGGTTTCGGGTTTAGGGTTTAGGGTTTAGGGTTTAGGGTTTAGGGTTTAGGGTTCAGCAGCTCCGGATCGAGCACTTTTAAAGTAGTGTTGTATTCTCTGTTTCGATGTAATACCCACCCACCCTGAGAATCCCATAACATTAAGAAAACATAGAAAGTTTTTTTTTCATTTAGCGAAGTTCAATTTACAATTTAGTTTCATAGACTTTAACATTCCTAGGAATACTGCTCAGTGGCAGCTGTGCGGTTTCCACCCTACAGTTCCAATAGCTAACTAGATTCACAGTTGTTCGCATGATCGGATTCGGTATAGACGCCAGAGCTTCTCGACGAGTCGCTTAATAGATACTAGTGCCTAGCTGTGGGCCGCAATCGGTTACTAATTCGGCCCCGACTGAACACTGCTGTCTAACAACAGATTTGGGATGCTAATTGGGGGGGCTGATGGGCAAGAGGCCTGCCACTGGGCCAGATTTGGGATGCTAATTGAGGGCGCTGATAGGCATGAGGCCTGCCACTGGGCCAGATTTGGGATGCTAATTGACTCAGACTCAGACCTGACACATACATAAGAGATTATATAAATTATATTATATATTGACTTACACCGCAGCAACCTCGGCTCCGAAACGTGCTGCAGGGATGCGCGCGTCTACCAAAAACCGCTTCACTAGACTATGCTCATTCAACGTCAAGGCAGCCATGTCTCCGCTAGGCCTCGCAGTTTCTCACATTTCTGATGCTTTTGCATACGCAGCGCTGGTTCCGAAACGTCCTGCACGGATGCGTGCGTCTATATTATAAGGTATATATTCTATAATTCTATAATTATATAATTTTATATAATTAATTATATAATTATATAATAATTAATTATAATTAATATACTGTATACTGATTTATATTTTTTGCTTATACTTTATACAGATACAGATACAGCATATATCATATATCATGCATAAAAAAATCTTGTTATAAAATTGTATTTCTTCTAACTTCTATATATAACAAACTTGAAATTGTTTATTTATTTATTTAATGTATTTCCGTTAATTTAAATGGTGCCGTCAGGGTTCATGATGTGTGACGTCGATCTGAATCATCTGTATCACTGTATCTACACTGAAGACTGCCATCCTCTCCCATATCACTACTGACTACTGACTACTGAGGTCACTGATGTCACTCATATCATTGTCATCATCTCTAGAATTCCATAATTCCATAAATGGTCTATGGTCCCATAAATCATAAACTTAAAACTTAGGTCTTAGGTCTTAAGACTTAAGTAACTTAAGACTCACATTCAGACCGAGACCCTTCTTCAGAAACCGAGTTCGACCCGCGCCGGACCCCCTCCTGCTCAAAGACAACACCTCTCTCGGCTGCACAAGCATCTGCCCAACGCCTGAAATCGTTCACGGATTCTCGGCAAGGTGTAGCCGACTGCAAGCGGGCCGTGATGATATGGCAGATACAGTCCTGCAACGCCCGAGCGGATTTTTGTTATGGGCGTAGTCTGCGTAGTCAATACTACAATTACGACTACGACTACTGGCTACTGGCAATAAATGCAATAAACTTATCTCTTCTTCTCCGCGTCCAATGTCCCCTCGTCGTTTCCAGTTGAGTCACCGTCCAGATCGTTGGCTTCCACCATACTGAAGTATAACCGGGGTCGGACGTGTGGAAGGTGGAAGTCACGAGAACTTGGCGTGAGATTTACATAGGGTTTTAGCAAGCAGCCCTACACCCCAAGCATCTACCCCAGCGCGGTCTAGGGAGTCTAGGGTGTCATGACATGACTGGTGTGATTCGATAATCTCGATCTGGTGAGATACGATGATAAGTTGATAAGATTGTGATAGGAACCGCTTACGGTTTGATCACGTTTGGCTTGGGAATTAAGTTGGGCTTCTACTTCTACTACCACAGACTCCTACTACCTCCCCAAAGATTGAGATTGAAATCCCTGCGCCCAATGGAACAACAGGACATCATTTCTACGTTGAATCCTCTAGCCTTTAACTGCATCGAAGTTCTAGCAACTCAACCTGGGCCGCAGCCATTCCGAATAACTCCGAATAACTGTCTGAATAACTTATCTAGTTTGCGAAATAAGACTTGAGGTGGCATGCGGAAGAGCTGCTGCAAAAGAAGCACTCGGGACACGTAGCCTGGAATCAACGAGAGGCCCAGCGTCTCTCCATCGGTCTTGACTCCCCGCATCAGAAAATCTATCGGAGCCTGCCAAAGCGGTTTCAGCTTAGGGTAGCTTGAGGCACATGGCACGGTATGACATGACATGGTTTGATAATTTGATATGATATATGATATATGATATGATTCGATGATATGATGATGATGACTTGGTATGGTATGATACGGTATGTTTCATGCTTCATGCTTCATGATTGATTCGGCACGATGTGATATGATGTGGTGGAAATGACCTGCGGTATGCGAGTGACATGAAATATGAATCTGAGTATGAATCATGAAATCATAAATCATAAATCATAAACCATGAACCTGAATCATGTGTCATGAGTCATGAGTCATGAGTCATGAGTGATATGCCGTGATGTGGTCTAAGTCGGGTGATACCGTAGGAGTCATGAGTCATGCGTCATGAATCATGAATATGCAATGCGGCAATGCAGTAGCACAGCATCTAGCATTCAAACGACGCTGGCTACGACTACCTTGGCCCTAGCCTGTTGAGCTCCGGGTTAACCTGTGCTGAAATGTAGTTGGGGTCCGGGTACAGCTGTGGTCAGTGTCACATTCTGTCGTAGTGTCAGGGGCTCAGCGTGCTTGTTTGGCTCAGGGTTTAAGCGGTTATGATTTATGTTGTTTCTGGTTTAGGTGTTGGGGTTTAGGGTTTCCCTCTCTCTCTCTCTCTCTATCTCTCTGTCCCTCTCTCTCGACTGTCTTCCGCTCCGTCACTCTGCCTATTTATCTCATTGTCGACCGGATTGCCTTTTCCCATTCCCCCCCATGATACACTGATACCCTGCGTCGGGCTCCATAAGTGAAACCTTTAACGATGGCCACGTCTCGGTGCAACCATCCATCTTCGACCAACAGCACTTTGCTAACATGAGTTTGAGGCTGCCAAGCTGTACAGTTGTCGGGCAGGATTCGCAGGATGGACGGACATGAACTACTGATGGCACGATGACTCATGACCAGCCATAGCTATATCGGCTATATCAATCTGACATCTGACTGACTATTCAGTTCAATGTCAATTACTATGACTATGACTATGACTATGACTATGTTATTAGTTATTAGTTATTAGTTATTAGTTATTAGTTATTACTATTATACTATTATTAGTTAGTTAGTCAGTTAGTCATTAGTCATGTATTAAACCACTACTGCTACTGAACAAAACTTAACCTAGCGTGTAATGTAATCTGACTACAGCAGCATAACTATAATATGCTGCTGAAATGCACTCTAGTAGATTGTAGCCCACTTTGCTGCATCCTGCCATTCCTGCTCAGACTGCAGCTGAACGCCGATTGATCGAATCGAGCATTTGCAAATCATGCAGGCTGCGCTCATACAGCTCCTTTTCGAATTCAGCAATGTCGGGTTTGGAGACTTGCCGTTGAAGCCAAGCAGATGAAGGGGCTTGCAAGGTAGCAGGCATCGCCGTCACACAAGTCGTGTGAATCGATTTGCTTGGCTTCTGCAAATGAGTCGCCAGCTCAAATTTCATATCTCCAGGAATTATCGCTCCATTGCAAACTGTACACTTACAGCGTCTCTTCACAACTCCATAACCTACCAGACCCAGCGTGTGATTGAACTTGGCCTTGACTTCGCTACTGCTTGCAGCTGCAGCACTTGTGAGCACTCTGGGTGACTCGACATCCTCCTGCAAGCCTGATGCTGATGCTGACGCCGATCCTGACGCGGATTCAGATGTTGCAGATGCTTCGACAACAACTGCTTGCTCCAGCTCCTGAAGCTGGGATTCCGAAAGCTGCATCTGCAAGTCATCTGCATCGCTCGGGTTCGGTTGATCTCCTGCTGCTGCTGCGGGAGATGGGCGCTTGCCCCCGCCCGCACCCCCAGCCGAACGACCACCTTTGCCGCCTCTGCCACCTCTGCCCCTGCGTGGAGGAGCTGCTGTCTGGGGCACAATACCAAAAGGCAGAACCGGCGTTGCCCGGTGTGGAGTCGCATGGTTCTTCTGCGGCGGTAATTCCACCGCGGCACCTACGTGTATGGGATGTTCCGCATCAGAGCATAAAGTAAGGCAGTTTCCATGTGCAGCTGTGTACTCGGGGACGTACTCGTAACTGCAAATATGAGCTTCTGGATCCATGCCCCTAGCACGGGCAGCCTTAGCGTAAAACTCGAAGATTTCCATACTGGAACCCACAGTAGCCCGCATGGATGCCTGATCAATGACCGGAGCCAGGGTAGAAGCTCCTACTGCTACTGGATGCACTTTTAAGAACACATGCGCCAACGGTCTCAATGACGTGCATCCCAGCACCCACCAAGAACCTGTGACGGTGTTGCTCAGGAAACCCCCTGAACCGGCTGATGCTTCCTCCGCACGTGGTGGCACAAACGCGCGAAACTTGAACAAGCTCCCAGCACCCAGCTTTGATCTCACGAGCATCGTCTGGAACTGCGCTGTCATGCGCATGACGTCGGCATGCGTCTTGCTGGATTGGCACACACCAGCAAAGCAGTCGGCACAGGGCCGAAAGAGCTTCGGAGCACACTCAGGTGCTGGATTGGGCACAATCCTTGTCTGTGGCATATTATATAACATAACTTGACAACTAATATATAATATCATATCACTCAACCAACATAAGTAACATGAGCATAAGTTATATTATAACAACTTGTTACAATTTGTATTAGAATTATTTACTATCATATTGAATCATATTAATACGACTACTAGTACTACGACTAATGAAAGTTCTAGGCAAGTTATAGGCTAACGGCTCAACTTATGGGCATAGGCAATCTTCATGAAATCCAAAATTCCAACAACCCCTTAACCCTAGACCCCCTGCGCAGAAAAAAACCGAAGATCCTCAGACGAATTCCTATTCAAACTTAACTCCAAGTCCTGAACCCCAAGAGCAGCCCTAAAAACTCGTGTTAGACTATATACTAAACTAAGACTGTAGACTATTCTGCTGAGTCAGGGCACTCTGGGTTGTATCCAAAGGCGCCCAGAATTCTCTCCTTTGCCGTCTCTGCACTGATGTCGTGTACATATTCAGGCTTCAAAGCTGATACATGATTTGCCAAACCCAAACCATGACTCCACGACGGATGCCCAGAAATGGCACTCAATGAAAGGTCCAATCTCTGCTGACCAAGACGTTTGCTCTGAGACGCGCTGAGCTTTTCATGTTCACCGGATAACCGCAACAACCTTCCAGCGATTGACTTCTTGGCTTGCATCTCGTCGTGCGCTTGTGCAGCGAACACAGCTTTGCTCTCTGCTGACATTTGAGACCACCTAGTTGATATTTCCTTTTGACACGCCTTGTGTTCTGCACTACCCACTCTCATCTTACGCCCTTTCATCTCTTGCTTTTGAAAAGCGTTGTACCCGCAGCCACGTCGTTGTCGCGGGGCTGCTGCTCCAAGCCTCACGACTCACAACAATGAACGGAATATTAATATACTCACTCTGTGCATAACCTACGCAAACACCGAAGGAACAACCATGGACTATAGACTATAGAGTATAGTATAGACGTATAGTAATAATTCTGTAGATTAACGACTACTTTGGTCCCAGGCACCGATGACGTTTGGGGGTTCGTCGATTCAGCTTCGTCGAAGCGTTGCAAGGAAGGGCTTCTCGCGGATTGCGCGCACGTAGAAGGCAGGATGCACGGTTTTGTTTCGTACCGAGGCTTTCAGTATCCACAGCTTCTCGTAGCGCCCGATGCTCCAAATATGTGCTCAGAATGTACGAGTTTTGCTGCAGAATCCCTGGTTGCTGCCCGGCTCCCTTCCTAACATGACTGGTCAATTGTAAATTTGCGTGGAGCTTTTCTACCTCCACAGACGAGGCTGGAAAATGCACAAGTGCATCCTGTGCAAGTTCTTGAAACTGCTGCACACGCTGCTGATTGCGACCATACTGCGTGAACGTAAACACCACCTGGTTGGGATAGGTGGGATTGGCATAATATCAGGTAAGTTAACGCAGTAATTTGGTAACATACTACGGAATAAAATTGGAGTGGCTGGCAATAAAAACTAGCATCTAATGTCGAGCTTAATATTCGTATGCAAATAACTCAGATAACCACACAATGAACACCAAATCATACTTCCGAACAGAACTGAATTCTGAACTTACTCAAAACTTGCGGAACCTACTAGTTTATTTCTCGACATCAGTTAATTCAAACAACAAAATCCAATTTATTTATAATTACTTATAGCTTTTAACTTATAACTACAATTTATTTTATTTATCTATCTGTATATAAGAAAGAAATGAAACATTATTGAAAGCCTCCCTAACTTACCTAACTCCTACCGCCACCTGTGAGAAATGCGGGTCCAGGCAGCACGGCCGAGACTTGTATTCCTGCCATAGGCGCTCGATGTAACCGCACGCTTCTTGCAGGGACATTTTGAAGACAGCCAGCAGCTTATACGACAGCTTCTGTGTCATGTAGTACATGCGTCTGTGGGAATCAGTCATAGCACGCACAAGCAATGGAAACAGCTCTTGGAAATGAAGCCCAGTGAGGCTGGTCACTTCTTCAGCCATGAGAAGCAACTGAGTGAAATCTTGCAACGTGGTCAAAGCTCGCTCACCGGAATAAAAAACCCAGTTTTTGTTCCGAATGTTCTGCACAGACGCATCTGCCGCGCTGTTCTCAAGCTTGACCCCTTTCTGTTTAAGCATGAAACGGACACGCAACGTTTCCACCAAGGAGACGTCGTCCATAAGTTGCCGCAGGGGCTGTGCAGAGATCAGCGCTTTGAATAGGATGACCTGGGGGTACTAGCTCCACATGCTAAGGTTGTGCCGTGTGAACCGTGTGAGTTATGGAGTTATGGGTCATGGGCCATGGGTTTATGAATTTATGGTTCAGGATCCATGACTCATGATTCAACACTTCAAAACTTTAAGAAAAAAACAAAAGTCTATGAACTCCCCGATGATTCGCTTACACTGATACTGATACAGTGATACAGATACAGATACAGTCAGGTAACAGATACGTGACGCTACGTGATATGATATAGTATAGTAATAATTTAATAATTTAATAATTAATAAATAATGATACAGTTACAGTTCAGTTACGGTCGAGTCGTTACAGTCTAGTTACAAGTTACAACAATAGTAAACTTTTCGCAGTATCACCACCAACATCACTATGGCTCTGGCTCTGACCTAAGATAAACCGAGGAGCATGGAAATCAGGTTCAGTCAATGCTTTCTGGCATTTGCTGACACGGACTGCTTGTTTTTCGGCAAAGCTCATGGCGGGATCACCCTCATCCCAATCTGCCCGGTCCTTCTCGTCTTTCGGCGCGCATTGTGTGATCAAAAACTTCAGGAAGCCATTGACTACAATCCCTCGAAGAACCCACCTCACGACTTGCAAATTCGGAACATACCGGGGGCTGCTTACATGATTTATGATTTATGATTCGATATAATATATGGTTTAGGATTTTAGGCATTTAGGAATCGATATACCCTGGCTTCAGGAACGCCAAACAGATGATGATATGCAGCTAATGTGACTCCAGAAATGGCTCCCAATGCTTCCACCGGTACAACAGTGGCTCGGATGCAAACGCTTGGAACAACACTGGCAATGCTTCTCGAGCACTTCGTTTACTGATCTCCTCAGAGGCGCAACAACCGGAGCAGCACCAATGAGTCCACTCACCCTGTTGCCAGTTGTCGCGGGCACTCTCCCAGTTTCCATTGAACATACGCAACACTAGCTTCCGTTGATCGGATGTCAATGAAGAGCCTGCTGCCAACGTTAACATGATATCCTGTTTTTCCTGGAATTCTTTGACCGATTCAGGCAGTTCAGCCACCTCGATTCTGTCCATCTTATTGACCAAAATACCAATGCCGTCCTCGATGCTTTGCTGGAATTTAGACCCTCGCATGGCTTTCGCAAGCCTGACTGTTGAAGCGGCCAAACCATCGATGTACAAAATAATTGGCCTTCTCGCCAAACAGGCCTGCCGCCAGATAATCAAACACAATTGCAATCAAACTAAGCTGCTGCCTTCAAACTAAAAAAAAACAAAGTAAATCCCCAACTGTCTCCTACGTCCATTCTGCCTGATGGTGTAAGCAGTTTACTTCGAGATTCATAGTGCCGCACGCGTTCAGATCATGCGACGCCCGCAACTGATTCCATCCGTGATGCTCTGCTGCAATGTGCATGAAATTCGCCGGACAGGCGTCGGTACCTGAGGCAAGTTTGTCAGTGGCTTTGCGCAATCCCATCCTTCCACAGGGCTCGGGCGGCTGTGACTTCACAATTCTCAGGTCGCGACAGTGAATGATCAGTTTCAGCGGCACAGTTTGAAAAAGCGTCCACAAGCCAGCTCCCCCCAACCACGGGGAACCTCGATTCGTGTCTCAGAATGGATCACAGTTTGTGGAATAGACAGCAACATAGCAGAATAGAAGTATTGTAAATTGTAAAGTACTTAATAATACTAATAATCAAAATAAATAAACTGATTACAGAATTGCTTTAACCGGCAAGCTACAGCCATCACTGCACAAGACACACCATCGCTTCAGCCTGTCGTGGATTGTAAACCCGTTAGCCTTTGGAAGAACCTGTGCAGGCACATGAATCTGGACTGTCTCCCCGCTTGCATCAGGTTTGCACACGTCTTCATCCCTCCGCACAAATACCCTTTGCACCATGCCCATCAGTGACTGCCGCTTCAAAGATCCCCGCTTGGATTTCTTTCCCTGCTCCGCAGCTAAGCCAGCATCGGCAGCATCCTGGTTCAGGAACACGTTCGTATCGTCATGTAAGATTGTCACCTTGTCGTAGCATCAGTGGTATCAGTGATAATATCACGCTATCAGTCTCAATGGGACTAGCGGCTTAGACAAGCACTTATATGATATATGTTATATGATGGATATATAAAAATAAATTAAACTAAACCAGTATATAATACAAAAGACATTTTATCATTACTGTCCAGTCTTACTTACTTACTGTATAACGTTACGTTACCAATACACCTGCCCAACCTTGCTTTAAAATTGCACGGAAAGTTGCTATTGCATGACGACTCCTCACACGAACCAGCCAATCGTGCAGATGACGCTGCTGACCATCCATGTGGCTGCACAGTCCAATGGCTTTCATGCGGGCAATTGTATTACCTTTCTTAATCTGAAAATCGAAGCAATCAACGTCTCCTGTGCTGGATGCAAAAGCCACGCATGCTTGCGTACGACCAACTTCTTTCTGGTGCTGGGGGTTTTCGNNCGATGTGTTCCCTGACATAATTGGGGATAAACATATTTCCCCATTCTGAAACATAATATAAATGATATGTTGAAAAGCAAACATGTGTTGATCTCTTAGAGATCCTATAAAACTATAAAAGATTCCTCACTCAAATATCTATATTCGCAAACGAGGACTTCTTTCTTCCACCGAGTATCGGGGGTCTGCGAGGGCTGCATACACTCAAGAATCTTTCGGCCGTCTCGGCCTTCAAGAAGCC